GGGGGGGGGGGTAGTAAGGATACATGGTGGACCTTTACTTTTTGCTTTATGCACACTTCTTTTTCGTTTTTTTTACCAAAACAAAACTTTTAAAAGAGAGGAAAGCACATTCAGAACCTGGAGGAGAGAATGTTCAGAGGCTCGCCAGTCTCTGCTCCAGCGCACAGGACCCAGCTCCGCAGGGCTCTGCTCCCCTGCTCGAGGCCCTGGTCCCCTAGGTAAGGGGGCAGCCCTGCCATACCTAACACGGCTATGATTCTGATTTTCACTGGCTCATAGCAGGAATTTAGGAAACCTATATAGTCTCTTAATGACCCTGTCTTTGCAGGTGAAAGCTGGAAGGGGCCTTAGGTGACAGCACAGTGAGGGGTGATCAGAGCCTGAAAGGGGAAAGGTACAGGAGAAAATGAGAACAGATATGACCCAATCCCCTCACATGTCATACAAAACACCTCACCAGAGCACAGGAGGGCATTTAACAGTGGGTTCTGGAAATGCTACTTTTCCTCCCTCCCAGTCCAGCACCCCCAACCAGAAGGGGACACTGTTCACCTCCCTAGACAACCCCTATACCCGGGGAGCTTCCCCCAGACACAGCAGTCCTGGACCCAAATCCTGAGCAGTACCATCATCTCCATCACTTCTCTCCAGACCCTGAGGAGAACCAGGCTGGGCCCCAGGCCGCCACAGGCACTGCATTTCCCAACCCCACCCCACTGTCCACCCCTCCTCACACCCCAGACCCTGCCTGAGCATGGCCCACCTTCTCCACCGATGCATTGGACTGCTGGAACTCCCTCTTCTGCAATTCCCCTTTTGTCCTTTCAGTCTCTTGTTGGAGGGACTGCCTCTCATAATACATTCTTAAGAGCTTGATGCTGCCAACACTGTGTGGTTTCTGGAAAACAAAATGGGCCTCCCAGGTCATCATAAGGGGGTCTCCCTGGCTAATGGGGACAGAGGCTAGAGGTAGATGCTGAAGGAGCAGCCCCCAGCCTCACTCAACACATACAACACCCTGTGAAAGGCACAGCTGGGGTCTAACAGGTCCTGGGCCTAAGAGACTCGAGTTTGCTTTGGGAGAAGACCCTCCCTTTGCCCTGGCTAAAGGTAAGAATAGAGAGGTGTGGATAGGCCATTGTTCTAGGAGATTTGAAGGTAGTGGTACCACCCCCATACTCAGTGATGGTATCAGTGCCTTGTAGTGTTATCCAGTGGCTGCCCCTTACAGCAGAACAGAGTCCCAGCAGGTCATATGGGATCCGGTCTAGACTACCTGGTGCCTGACAGGTCTTGTGTGTTTGGGGAAGGTGGGAATTCTCATTCCTGGACGCCTCAGTTCCCAGGAGTCCTTAGTCTTCAATGGCTAAGATGACCTGATGGGCTTCCAAGCCCCATTCAAGAGATTACTGTCTCCACTGTAGGGTCTGAGGCCAAACCACACCCAGTGAGTAGGGAGAGAGCAGTCCCCTGGCTCTTTCTCCCTACTCCACCCACCCCAAATAAGACCATCAGTCAAGCCTAGAAGGGTTGATCCTGGGGCAGACACCAGGGCTCAGAGGAGGAGGGAAGTGGTTTGGTCTGGTCTCCAGGGAGCTAAGGCTTGTTGGGGAGGCAGGGGAGCCTTTATGGCTCATCTCTGCTGGGGCAACAGGAGCTGGAAGACAGAGAAAGCAGCCCAGGATTTAACCTCCAGTTATAGGTTCTCTGGTTGTCTCGCCTCCGGGTCCTGCCCTTGAGCTTACAGACATCAGGTCTGGTATTAGCTGCTCTCTGAGAAGGGACCATGGGCAGGTGTGAGGCAGCAGATTGGGTTAGATTCCCTGGGCCTAATCAGGGAGGTGCCTGCCCAGCCCACCATACTCAAGAAAAGTGTGTTAAAGTGCCTCCTAATAAGGAATCACACACATGAGGCAAACTGAGGTGTCTAGAGCGGCGGTCGCCAACCGGTGGTCCGTGGACCACTGGTGGCCTGTGAGGTCCAAAAGGTTGGTGACCGCTGGTCTAGAGAGTAAGGGTGGATGCCTTGCTCCCACCTTCATGAGCTCAGGCTCCTCTGACTCCTTGGTGCTGGGGTGTCTCATCACAGGGGGGGCTGACACCAGGCTCTGCCTCAGTTTGGTGTTGGACCCAGTCTTGGTGCTGTGGTCCAGAGGATGCACGGAAGATTTGCGTGCCCACTTCTTTGGCTCCACACAGGGATTGCTGGTCCTTTGGCCCTCAATTAAGCTCTCGCCGTCTCTTTGCACCTGTGCCAGAGAGAGAGCAGCCCCTGGGGCTCGGCAATGTCCCAGAGGGAAATGCAGGGTCTCCCAGCCTCACACCAACAGCACAGGCTCCCCAGGTGCCCAGAGCATGCTTCCCAGAAACCGGGGACCCTTAGAGGCATCAACCCAGAACCTATGACCCTGTCCCAGGGCCAACCGCTAATGCCCTGAGTACCCATAGGCAGGAAACTGCTCCTATGAGGAACTCAGTCTTCCCATCTCTAAAATGGACAGTGGTTTCCAAATATTTTTTAGGATGTTTTTAATCTTAAGGGAAGCTCCAAAGTATAAAATAGATAAAAAGCTGGGCTGCTCTGGGAGAAGCCTCTGCAATAGCTTCCAAGCATCTTTCCCCAACATGTTCCAAAAACTACTGCATGAGGTGACCCCAGAGGCCCTTCCAGCTTTGATGTGCAAAGATATGGCAATCCAGAGACTGTGTGAGTTTCCTAAGTCCTTGTCATGAGCTCAGTGAGCCCGGAATGGCCGTATGTACTGGTGACGGGTAAGATGTGAGCCATCTTTCAGGACAGAGTAATCTTTGGAGGGAACACAACTAGCACTCCCAGGCTCTGGAGTCAAACTGCCTGGGTTTGACCTATCACTTCTTGGCTGTGTGACCTTGGGCAAGATGCATAACCTCTCTGTGCCTTAGTTTCCTCATTTGTTGAATGAGGATAATCATAGAAATCTCCTCCAGAACAAGTCACCACCATCCTCTCTACTTCCCAGGATGCTCCCTACACCCTCCTTCCCCAGGTCCAGTGTGATTCTGGCCCACAGCTAAGAGAAAGATGAGAGAACAGCATGTTCCTATTGGCCATACCTTCGTAGGCAGCAAGGGTGCGGGGCTCTGAGAGGCGTTGAATTTGAGGATGGGCTTGAGCATATTGACGTTCCAGAAGAGGATGTCCCCGTTGTAGGAGGCGGTCCCGAGGAACTGGTTCTGGTACTTGGCCACACTCAGGATATCCTCGGTGTGGAAGGTCTGCCAGTGGTTGCACAAGAGCACCGACTTGGTCTTGTGGAACCTGCACACACGGCCAGAGGCAGGAGGGCTGAGAGCTCAGCCTTAGTGCTCCACTGCAGGAACACGGACTCAGCAGAGGGCACATGGGGGGCTGGGACAGGGCTGACCTTCTGCCCTGCTGACTCCATTCACTAAGCACCTACAATGTGCCTACTGTGAAGGCCCTGTCCTCGGGCTTCATGTAAACTAATCTTACAGATTTTCACCTCTCAGGCACCGGAGTAAGGGTTCAGGTTTAGAGAAGAGGAAACCACTGCCCTAAAAGGGCCCTCTGAGGAGGAAGGGGTCTTGCACATACGCTAGCATTTCCTCCCTCTGCCAGAATGTTCCTCCTATCCCAAGCTCTTAGCTGCTTCGGTAAGACCCCTCTGCTCGCTCTTCAGATCCCCCTCCACCCATAAAATCCTCAGGTGAGCTTTTTCTGACCACCCCTCAGACTAAATCATATTTCTGTCTCCTTTCCATAGAAACCCCTATTCAATCGAATGTAGCATTCTAAATGAAGCTATTTGATCAGCTCAACCCCACAGAGGCTCCAGGAGGATGAAGATCCATCGTTCTTGTTTATACCCACCCCCAGCACCTCCCGCAAAGCCTACAGCCTATCATCGAAGGGAGTGGCGAATAGATGGGTGGATGACAGATGAAGCCCTGGACATGAGCCACCACTAATGTCCTGCTGGTGTTCTAACCACCCGCAAAGCCAGGAATGGAGGAGCCCACCTACCCACACACACCCTTGCTACTCACTTGTAACAGGTGATTCTCTTATTCCACCCGGTCACGTAGAACATGTTATTCATATGGATAATCCCACTAATCTGTGGAAGATGAAAGAAAAAAACTCAGTGAAAATAGCTCTGGGCGTGGAACGTCTTCCTAATCATACCAAGCAAGAAGCTAACACTCTCCATGTGAGGAGAATTCTCTAGAGGTGACACCACCACATTTTTCTCAAGGTTTCCTCCTATCTCATCAGTTGATGGACTGAGAGAAAGCAAATCAGGTAGGTATCCATGTCCACTTTCTAGGGGATGACTGAAAACAGACAAGTGACTGGGGTAAGGTCAAATGACTGAGTGATAAGACCTGCACTAGTACTCAAACCCCTGGCTTCTTGACCATGTGCTCCTTCGGGGCTGGTTAAAGGACTGTGCCACAGGCGTCAGAAATGGCCTCAAGTCCCAAAGGGGGACTGCTGGCTCGGCACGATGCCACACCCAAGGACTGTCTCAAATAGAGTCAAGCATGGGTGGCTCTGAATCACCTGCCCCCACTGCTAGGGTCCCAAGCTCTCATAGGTGGGGTAAGAAATGCTAACAAGCCCTGACCGGTGTGGCTCAGTGGATAGAGCATCAGCCTGCGGACTCAAGGGTCCCAGGTTTGATTCTGGTCAAGGGCATGTTCCTTGGTTGCAGGCATATCCCCAGTGGGGGTTGTGCAGGAGGCAGCTGATCGGTGTTACTCTCTCATCGATGTTTCTGACTCTCTATCCCTCTCCCTTCCTCTCTGTAAAAAATCAATAAAAAATATATTTTTTAAAAAAAAAAAGAAATGCTAACAAACTAAAAGCAAGTGAAGCTAATATTTGTAGAACGCTTATTAAGGACAGGTGCTATTGCCTATCTTCACCTTCCGCGTGAGGACACGGAGGCTCCGGGAGGCATGAAGCCACTGCTCTTCAGGGAGGCAGATGAACTAGTGGGCCCCAGAGTCACTGGAGTTGTGCTTAGTTTCTCAAGAGGCCCTCTGAGCCCACCCGATGGACCAGACTGACCTCCAGCTGGTCAGGGTTGGGGAAGGTGAGCAGGGATTCCCCAGTGCTGTAGTTCCACATCTTTACAGTGCCATCACGTGAACCCGTGAGCAGGCACCGCTCAGGCTCATCCAGGGACATGGCAGTCAGCTCCATTTGCTGGTCACGACTCACAGAGAACTCCATCATCCTCTTGCCTGTGACGATCTCCCACACACTCACCACGCCGGTCACACAGCCACTCACCACCTGCGGGCGAGGACACAGTCTGGGGCTCCCACAGAGGCGTGTGGCCCCTACCTGTCATGGCTAGGCCTGGCCCAACCCCCCTCCATGCACTGGGAAGACAGGCATTCACGGACCCCGGCTACCAGATCACCTCTTCTTGAAAACAGGCCTTCCTCAGGGCAGTGCAACCTGGCACAGCTTTCAGAAGGAGCCAGTTTGGTGAAGTTCCCTTTAACTCAGAAATGCGTCTATCAGAATCTATCCAGAGAAAATAATCTCTAATTTTAAAAAAACACCCTTTTATTGAAGCATCATTAATGATGGGGGCGGCATAGGAAATAGAGAAACTGGCCCCTACGAAGGGAAGTGCAGAGAGTAGAAGATGGTCACTCCACTCGGTACAACCTTTTGCTGCCATGACAAGCATTTCAATGCAACAGCAGCAGTGAGCCTATTTGAGACCAGCCCTCCTGCTAAGAACGTCTAGAAAAGCTGGGGTTGGGGGTTATAACTGTTTGAAAGAATTGAGGAGCCCAAAGTATGCAGGATGGTGGTGCCAGGAGCCAAGATGAGAGGGAAGTGCTGAGAGACGAGCTCTGGCTTCATGCGGCCAAGGCAACCTCTGTAGCAGATACAGCCTTCCCTGCCCAGAACCCAGGCCAGAAAAGGGGTCCAAGTAGAAATTGGCAGAAGACCTGGCGGCCCTTTCTGTCCCTACACCTCGGAAACCATGTGCCCAGTTGCCCTGACCAGCCCAGAGGTCTCTACTCAGGGCCAGGGTGCTGCCCGCGGCCTGGGCCTCCCTCCCTTCCCTTAGTGGACAAAGTTGAACTAGGGCTTCCCTAGAAAACGATGCCCAGGAACCCTGCAGAGCAGCCCATCCCTACTGCCCCATCTCACACTCGCATAAGAAGGCTGCCTGTCAGAACGGACCTGGGGCAGCAGCCAGGAGTGCACGGGCTCAGGAGTCAGGGAAGCCGCTGGCCAGGCGGTGGGGCTCCAGTCTCATCATGGGCCAGCCCCTCTGCAGGGCTATTTCTCATCCAGACCCCGCTGCCCCCACCACCATGACAGCTATGAGAGTCCGCACCACCCTACCACCTGCCCTGATGACACAGGAGGTCTGGGACCTGCCCCACGTCACCCAGCTCTCCTACCAGTCCCAGAGGCCAGCTGGCCCACTCACCTGCTTAAAAACCTTGCTGTAGAGGACAGCACACAGGGGCGCGCTGTAAGTCGTGGTCTTCTCCCCGGTTTTCCCAGGCTCCTCGGTCTCCATGGACCCTTTTAGGATCCCAATCTGTAATGAGGAGAGGGACAGACAGCTGGGCAGTCCAAAGGGCTCTGCCCTCATTGACTGGCCCCAGGGAGAAACTCCCAGTAAACTGAGACATCAAGGCATCCTGACTACACACAGGCCTGAGCCTAGCAAGGCTCCTCTGATCCCTACTCCATGTCACCCCTCTCTGAGATCAGGGCTCCCAAATCCTAGTGCTCCTAGGACCCCAAAATCCAAGGTCCCTCTTATAACTCCTGAGAAGCATACAGCCTCAATCCAGCGTCCTCTCTTCCAGGCTATCCCTACCCCAGGCTAGACTAAGGGTCTTTTTCCTGTGCTCCATGAAGCACCTAGCATACATGACCATCATAATACATTGCGTTTTCTACATTTCCTTCTACCCCATGGGTTCCTCAAGGGATCGGACAGTGTCTAATTAATATATTCTCTGCTTCTAAAAAAGAGCAGGGGGTTGATAATGTTTGATGACATGAAGTGACCTTCAAAGGTCTATTTAATCCAACAAATGCTGGCAGCCAGTCTGGTACTCAGCAGAGATGAAGGAACTCACAACCTCCCACCTCAAGAAACCTACCATATGGGGGAGAGCCAGCCAAGGACACAAGAACAATATACGTGTCCCCTGCCAGGGTGGCCTGGCCAACAGAGGGTACAAGGCCTCAGTGGAAGTACCCCTAACTCTTAGCCACAAATGACACCCTTGTCTCCCTTCCCATCTTGGCTGCTGGTTGTCCTTGCAGCTCCCTAAATCCCCATCTTGTCACAGGCCCCACCGCCACCCTGCCCAGTCAGCCCCCTTGCTTCTCCCAGTCTGTGCTGTCCTCCAGGGTCAGGGTCAAGACAGAGTGCACATGGGCCCCAGGGAAGGTGAGCTCACAGATGGCCTCACATGAGGTCTCTCCAGGTTCTCTCCTTTAGAAGAGCTGCTCAGGTGTGGTCCTGCCTTCCTGGAGTTCACAGTTTGTCAAGAAACTCCCATAAGAGTTTCAGGGCAGAGCTGTAAGGGCTGTGATCACGGGAGGCACCGGTCCAAGGGAGCTTGGAGGGGGGGCCCCTAACTCAGCCTGGGAGCAGGGGGCCGGGGAGGGGGTGCTTCCAGGTTGTCAGGAAAGAACAGACGAAGCAGTAACACAGAAGCTGACAGCTGGGGGCCTAGAGACAGCTTCTAGGAAATCCCAAGAGATGGAAACTCATGGGCGAGGCCACAGAGTCCAGCAGCTTCATCAGCACAGCATCATGAAGAGCAGTCTGGGGAGGGACAGTCTGTGGCCATCCCTTGGTTGTCCTGTAGGACTGCAGGCCCGGCCACAGTGGCCACCCTCTATGTGCAGCCACGATGCCGCCTCCCTCCTGCACGGCACTCACTGAATAGGTGCTGCAGATGAGGGTGTTGTCATTCTCCCGGAGGTAGATGCTGGTGATAGGACAGTTTCCCAGGGCAAAAAGCCTGCCACAGAAGGACTGGAGGCATACATACTCCTGCAGGTCCCACACGCGGATATTCTAGGAGGTAGGAAACAGATGGAGAGGCTGAGAGTGGGATGCAGCTGGCAACGGAGGCCTTGGGATGTGAGCAGGTCAGGGGCCCACGATGCAAGCACTTCCAAAGCACACCCACTGCGCTTAGTGTCTGCCCCGGGTCCTGACCCTGCGACAGAGATGTTGTTTCTATGCTCTAAGAAAAAGCCGTGGCCCGGCTCTCTCCCCGTCCCAGCCTTCACCCAGGACCTCTACCCTGTTGGAGTGGATGACATTCAGTGGTGGAGGCCCATGCCAGGCAGCACAGTGCCCTTGCAGACCGCACGGCTGCCCCTCCAGCCTCCTCAAACACAACCAGGTAGAAGGCAGAGTGGCTACCAACATTGTTGCCCAAAAGGCCCACCTGTCCCCAGAGGATCCCCCTCGAGTTTATCCCAGGTTGAGAAAGTGTCCCTAGAGAGGCTCCTGGAGAGCTGGTGGTGCAAGTCTGGGTTGGGGGGAGGGTGGAAGCAGGGAAAGACTCACATGTATTGTACACCTACTATGTGCCAGACGTGACATTACTCTTTTACCCCCCATTTTCCTCTAAGCCACTGACAACCATTCCATGGAAGGGGCCTATATACCCCTGCAGGTCCCACACTCAGAGGTATAAAAGGGAAGGGTGTGGCCCAGGACCACAGCCAGCTCCGGTGGACTGCTGGGAGCTGGGCTCAGGCTCCGCATGGCGACTCCCCCCGGGGCCATCTCCCCCTAGGCCTTAGGCCAGGCGTGAGACCACAGGCAGGGAGGTCACACCATTCCCCTGGGACTCAGGCTCCTGCCAACTGCCAGCCTCCCGGCTGCCCAAGCTAGGTCACTGCTCCCAGGAAAGTGTCTCTGGTTGGGGGGCGGAGGGCCATGCTCCCCAAGGGCTGCACCTTGTCCTTGGAGATGCTGATGAGGATGTTGTTGTTCTTGGTGTTCACCAGGATGTGCGTCACCGAGGTCTGATGCCCCTTCAACAGCCACACAGGCTTTTTCGAGTAGTGGGGGCTCCACAGGCGGATATGGGGGTTATAGCCCCCAGTCACTGGGGTGGGGAAAAAATGAGCATCAGCCACTGGGGGCTTATGCTGGGACCTTTTCCTGGGGCCAGGTATCAATTCCAGCCAGGCTTGGCAGGTGGGCAGGCATTGCTACCAATCAACCCTCTGCTCCCCACCCATGCTAAGCACAGCCTGTGCCACCACACTACCCCAGGCACCCATGAGTGGGGGCCAGAGTGGCATGAGAGGAGGCCAGACAGAGGCAGAAGGCTGCAAGGCCTCCTCCTTGGCTCTGATGGTCCCCATGCCTCCAGCAGCCCTCACCCAGTTCTGCCAGGCCAACAGATTCTGCATGGCATGAAGATGACTTACCCAGGAAGTTCTTCTCTGCGCAGTAATCAAAGCAAAGAATTCCTTTTCTTACATTCAGCACCGAAAACCTACAACAGCAAAGAACAAAGGCTGTGGGCTAGGAGAGGCCTCAGGGGAGCCTCTGAGTGTGGGGTGTGGAAGAACTGGAGAGAGGGCTGGAGGGAGGCCAGGAGAAGTCACTACCTCTCCACCCAAGGAGAGGAGCAGCCCCAGAAGCCCTGCCCAGAGCACTCCCTGCAGCTGAGTCTCAGCCTTGGGTCTCAGCCCCAAACCAGCAGCTCACGGAAGAGGCACCCACCTCTCACTTACAGATGAAAGCAGCCCGCAGGAGGAACTACTTATAGTTATAACACATTTGCCTCACTCCACAGACAAACGTCACTTCATCTTTACCTCAACCATAGTGGAACAGGTGTCTCCCCAGCCACAACACACATCCAAGGGAAGGGTTTCAGGGCCAGGGAAAAGGGAAGACAGCTCTTGGGGTCATGGCCTTGCTCCATGCTGTTGCCTCTTATCCACACATCCTGCCCTGCCAGCTTCTTCTTGAACTCTCCCTTCAAAACTCAACTCAAAGGCCTCCGACCCTCTAATGCAGCATGCCCCACTGAACTTGCCTTTGAGCTGGCTCCTCCACCACTCCCTGGGGACCCAAGCCTGTTACCTGCATGTTATTCTGGAGGTTCGCTCTCCTATACTCCCCCACATCCCACCACAGCCCTGGCCTCTGCTTAGTTCAGACCCCCCTTCATTTCTGTCAGCCTCCCAGGGGGTCTCCAAACCTCCAGTCTTACTTCCCTCCAACCTGCTCTCCCCTCCACAGCAGAAGGATGCCTCAAACAATCAAAATGTCAGGAAGAACAACTGAATGCATGTATGACATTTATTGTCAAACCAGATATATCCTTCTCCACACATATATGCGCAGAGAAATCTTCTGGAAGAATGGTCCCAAAACGTCACTATAAATCATTTCAGGCTGATTCACCCATTCATTCACCGAAGAGTTACTGGCTCCTGCTCCCTTCCAGGATTACAGAGAGGTGGATATGATGCCCTGGCCTTCCTGGAACTTCCTCTAGAGGGCAGCAGTATGAGCAAGTACATGAGCAGAGGTGGGAGACAGACATTTATAGATCGTGGCAGGTCCTGCAGGGAGACACACAGTGGTTTTGACAGGCTAGCAGGAGGAGACCAGGTCTACAGATGGCTGCTGCAGTGCAAAGAAGGGCCTGGAAGGTCAGGGGGCATGCAGGGAACAAGGCCACTGCGAAAAGTTTAGGTGGCAGATAACAGTGGCTTCAATGAGATGGTGGGGGCAGAAGTGAGAGAAAAAGTGGGAAGCCAGGGAGATGCGGTGGGTTAGTCCACAGGTCCCTTCTACCCCGACCATAGGTCCTCCATCAGATTCACTGCTGGGTCCAACCACCTGGAAACTCAGCGCAGGCCGGCTCCTGGGAAGTCAGACCCTTGGACCCACACTGCCTGGGAGGCTGAGGGCCACTCCAGAGTTGGGTTGGCAGTGCCAGGCCCCACCTGCAGAGGCCACGCCCTCCGCGGCCATCCCCAGCAACAGAAAACCAGCAAGCAGTCAATGGCGCCACCTACCAGAAAATATGTGTACTGCATTCGGGCAGGATATCTCAAATCCCCCCATCTCCACCCAACTGGTCTACTGCAGGCTGCTGCCGTATGTACCCTGAATTACTGCAATGGCATCCTCACTGGGTCCCCATCTCAACTCCTGCCCACATGCACTCTACTTGCAACAGAACAACAGAAGGATGCTCCTACACGTCACACCACACCATTGCTCTGCTCAAAACCATTCTAGAACCCTGTTTATATCTGATTCCAAATAATTGTAAAAAGATATTTTTGAGACACTTGGGGAGAGATTAACTTAGACTAGGTACTAATGATATTAAAGTATTATACTATTATCTCTACTTTTGTATGTGTTTGAAATTTTCCGTAATAAAAAATGTTTAAAAGACAAAAACTATTTTTTAAAAAGAGCATATTACTAGAGAGGAGCGATGCAAAGGCCCTGGGGCAGGAGCACGCCTGAACCACAGGGGGCCAGTGTGGCTGGTGTGGAAAGGTGGAAGAGGTGTGCTCAGGAAGGCAGCAGGGCCTGACCAGAGAAGGCCTCAGGGCCACAGTGAGGTGATCCTCCTGATAGCCTCCTGCTGTTGAGACCCAATAAAACACGAAGCTGATGAAACACATATCACAGACATGAGATAATACTACCACCACAGCAGAGAGATGACACTCAGCCAACCATCTCCAAGCAAAATCCCACCCCACAGCCCCACTAAAAGCACTGAAGCCAAGACTGAAACGCCCCCACCGCAACAGATATTCTCCGAGGCCCCCTGCCCTAACCTGCAGTTAGTTCCAGGACTTGGGTGGGAATGTGCACAGAATACTCTGGTTAACGAGACAATGGACTTACAATGAGGCCTGGGATGCAACCCCAGCTCAAAGGTCTGCTCCAAGCCAGTCGGCCTCCCCTGCCTTCCCTAAGGCCTCAAGTTTCCAGTGTAAAACGAGGAGCGGGACCTAAATTAGCGCTACCATCCCAGGACTGGATTCCCTCTGGAAAACAACCAGGATAAGAAGGAACAGACAGAAATTGGGCCAAAATGGCCCTCATTCTCCACACTGTACCTGACCCAGCTGCACCCCAGCACAAGCCTCAAAGCTCCTGCTGTTCTCCCAAGACAAGGAGCTACAGCTTGTTATTCAGCCCGTTCAGGAGCAAAATGTCACAGACCAAAGGCTCCAGATGTAAAAAGGTGGGACAATAAGAAAACTGCAGAGGCAGGGAAACCCAGCTACTGGGATCCTCAGGAGGAAGTACCTACTGCAAAGTGCCAAGTGCTAGGTGAACACTAAAATCATAGAATTGGGACTTTCGATAATGGAGTGAGTCAATGGGGTTAGGTAAAGGGAGGAGGGCTGCAGGATTCCAGTTTTATTTATAATGTTTTAACTTTTTTCCAGGACAATGTATATGCATATACATTGTATATGCATATACAAAAAAACAAACAAACAAAACCTCAGACTCCAGAGCCCATGCTGTAACAGCCCGCTGTTGGCCCATCGGACAGGTAGTGCTGCCTTGGACCCAGTGTGGTTCGTAGACAATGAGCTGCCCACAGACAATGCCACTGACTCAGGGGTGGGGCCACCCTTGGTAGGGATGGCCCCTTTTGAATGAAGTGAAGCCAGACCCCTACCCACCTCCCTTCCAGCCCCACCACCTTAGCCTAGAGCAGCGGTTCTCAACCTATGGATCGTGACCCTTTTGGCGGTCGAACAACCCTTTCACAGGGATCGCCTAAGACCATCCTGCATATCAGATATTTACATTATGATTCATAACAGTAGCAACATTACATTTAAGAAGTAGGAACAAAAATAATTTTATGGTTGGGTCACAACATGAGGAACTGTATTTAAAGGGCCAGAAGGTTGAGAACCACTGGCCTAGAGAAAGGTGCTTCTTACCTGGTAGTCTCGGAGGCTTTGGATGGCAATACTGTCAGCACCAAAGAGGACTTCTTGATGGCTGAGCAGGAGGCCACCAGGTTCATCTCGGGGATGAACCGGACCTGCTGACACCAGTTATGATGGAGAGCCTGGGAAGAGAGCGGCAGTGGTGGAGTCCCACCTGAGGACGGCCTTTCAGCCCCACCCCTGGGACATGGCAGGTGTTGGGGACTGGAAGGACCCCGGGATCACTGAGTCCAGTGGCTTCTAATGATCACAGCTCTGACCAAGTGATATGGCCCCAGCCCTAGCCCAGACCCCATGACCAGGAGGGTGTGGCCATTGCTTGTCAGTGGGTGCTGTCATGTGAACTCTTGCTTATCAGGCAAGTCAGGCCAATACTAAGATTGTTTGTCGCCCCCTCCCAGACAGGAGAAAGGAGGGATTTGAGTCTGTGAGTTCTGTTATCTGCAGGAGCCCCGGCGCCAATGAACCTTTGCTTCCTGGCCCCTCCGCTGCCCTCCATCTTTGTTAGGACATGGCGTGGGATAGTGAGAATGTTATCTGGTGCACTTGGCAACAAAGGCCAAGACCCACAGATCAAGGGGGTGTTCTGGTTGCACAGGCTCTAAATACTCCAGTTCCAGCCCTGTGGTCTGACCAGTGCTTGGCCTCCCCATCCAGCCATCTTCCTTTCCGGGGGGACAGGAATGGAGGAAGTGGGTTGGAGGGGTCGTCAGGCCCTGACTAGGTTTGCAAGCCTAGCTCACTGAGTATCACAGTGGGGCACCAAATCCAAGGCACTAACAACAGAACCTGGGTCATTTAGCAACTTGGAGGAAAACCAAGCCCAAGATGAGAATCCCACAGGAGATGCAGAAAAGGAGGACTAGCCCGGGACTCTTCCTGAGGGGCTCCCGGGCCTGCACGATCCAACCTGCTCCAAAAGAAGCACGGAGAAGCCTGGACCACCCAACACAGGCTTTCCTGAGTGTTGGAGTTATTCACTCATTTATTTAACACATGCACTAGGAGCCCACAGCTCCAGGCACTGGAGACAGAACAGAGAAGAGAACCAGCTAAGTGCCTGCCCTCCAGGAGCTGCACTCTCATGGGGGAGGCAGGACAATGCCGGGTAAGAGGTGGCAGCTGTGATGCTGTGATTTATAATGAGAAATATATATTTTGGTCTTTGTCCCTGGTTCTGGCACAGAGTTCCCGGAACCCTGGGAATTTCCTAAGTAATAAGAGCTATAAAGGTGTTTTGTAGTCATAGCAAGCCCCTTTCAACCACACCCCAGTTTATGTTAAGGAGGTGACTTTTGGAAAGCACCTAAGGATGGGGCTGGTTACCAGGGGAACCAACCATAAGACTAGATCAGCCATGGGCAAACTACGGCCCGTGGGCTGGATCCGGCCCGTTTGAAATGAATAAAACTATTGAAAAAAAAGACCGTACCCTTTTATGTAATGATGTTTACTTTGAATTTATATTAGTTCACACAAACACTCCATCCATGCTTTTGTTCCGGCCCTCCGGTCCAGTGTAAGAACCCATTATGGCCCTCGAGTCAAAAAGTTTGCCCACCCCTGGGCTAGATAATTGGAACCTTTAGTTCCAGGGAGAGGAGAGGAAGTGGAGGCTGAATTCGATCACCAGTAACCAATGATTGTAGCAATCAGGCCTCTGTAACGAAGCCTTCATAAGAAGTTCAGAGAGCTTCCGGTTGGTGAACGTGGAGATTTTAGGAGAGTGGTGCTCTCAGAGAGGCCATGGAGCTGCAAGTGCCTTCCCACATACCTCGCTCTACAAATCTCTTCCGTCTGACTGCTCCTGAATTACAGTTTTTCATAATATGATCAGTGATCTAGTAAGCATAATGTTGCTGCGAGTTCTGTGAGCAGCTGCAGCAAATTAATCAAACCCAAGGAGGGAGGGGATCATGGGAACCTACTTTCTGTAGCCAGCAAGTCAGAAGCATAGTAACAGCCTGGACTTGTGACTGGCATATGGAGTGGAGGGCAGCCTTGTGGGACGGACCTTCATCTGCAGGAACTGTGTTGAACTCTAGGACACCCAGTTAGAGAATTGCATGGTGGTGTGGAAAACACACACACACACACACACACACACACACTGTAGTTGGTATCAGGATTCTGCAGGGTGAAGGAGTAAAGGCAGAGGCAGGCAACAGGGCTGTTTCAGGCAGGAAGGTTGGGGAATGAAGGAAATAGAGAGGCGGGCATACAGATACCTAGAAAAGAGCATGCAGTCTGAAGAACAGCAGGTGTCAAGGCCCTGAGGTAGGAAAGGGCTTAGTGTGTTTCAGAGAGAAGCTACTGGGGATTTTGAGCAAAGCAGTGACATGACTGTATTTCCAGCTCTTAATTCCACTGGCTGCTGGAGAAAGCACTGCGTGAAGAAAGGACATGGGCAGCTGCTACAGCCATGCAGGAGAGAGGCGGTGTCTGAGGGAACCAGGGCTGAGCAATGAAGGCGCTGAGAGAGAGGGCCACGCCTGGGATACAGAAAAAGCTGGTAGGATCCAACTCCACCCATTCCTAGAGATCAAGCCCCACGGCCCATGACTGAGCACAGGGGCCAAATCCACTCTCTGCATTTATTTTTTTTAATGCATTTTTTAAATCTTCACCTGATGATATTTTTTCCATTGATTTTTTTTTTAAAGAGACTGGAGGGAAGCGAGAAGGGGAGAGAGAAACACCGATGCAAGAGAGACACACTGATTGATTACCTCCCTCTCACACCCTGACTGGGGCCAGGGAATGAGCCTGCAACCGAGGTGCATGCCCTTGACCAGGAATCGAACCCATGACCCTTCTGTCCGTGGGCCGACACTCTCACCACTGAGCCAACTGGCCAGGGCCCTCTGCATTCATTTTTGACAGGTGTGTGTACAAATAATTATCATGGTAACAGGCTGAGGAAAGCTACAACTTACCTTCAGTCGGTAACTTTTATACAAAGGGGACTTCTCGTTTAAGAGCTTCTGTATGGAAATATTGGTCCAGTGATCTGTTAGGAGAGAAAACTGAGGTCCATGTCACCAGTTCTCCCCCTTTGCCAGATAAGCAAAACCTTAGAAGACACCGGAGTCTGCCTGCAATTCCTATGCAACTGAAAAGCCTTTTCCATCCAAATGCTTGTTCAAACCTCACTGTGTCCTGATGAGTTCATGGGGGGGACTCAACACCCAGAAAACAGACCCAGCAGGTTAACACTGCCACCCAGAGTCCCCCGCCAGCTCACAGCAGAGCTGGAACCAGGTCTCCGGGTTCCCCACTCTCCCCCCAGCTGCTACAGTCTAAACAAATTGATTCTGTTAACTCCAACTTTTCTGACATGAAAATGAATTATGGTCCTAGGAAATATTCATTCTGAAAATAGTCCTTTGGGGTTTCCTATCAGGCTTCAAACCTTCATGCCCCCTTTGCCCAGCAAACACAAGCACTGTAAACTGAGCACATCAGGAGGAACCGTACTAGGCGCAACCTGCCCTAGGGGACCTCAGGTCCCAGGGTGGCAAACAGTGACCAGAGCAGAGGCTGATGAGGCAGGAACATAGCAGGGTGCCAGCCCCCTGCTGCATCCAGGGCAGGATGCGTTTTCTGTCCAACCAGGAGGGACACTGCCCCAACAAGCTTGGCAGGAGGTGTCACTGAGGCCTGGGAGCCCAGGAGGATGTCCTGTTCAGACACTATGACTTGGAAGCCCAAGGGGCCACTCTGGTGGTCTGGATGGAGCAGCCTGGAAGCCTGACACTGTGAACTGAAGGTCTGATCCAGCTCAGATGAGTCCCCAAATGTCCCACGCCCCAGGGCCTCAGCACCTAGTGCCCCTTGGCAGAGCGTCCCTCACAGCATCCTTCAGTATTTGGTGAGCTTGGTGTGCAGCTTAGCAAGTGGTTCAAGTGCAGCCTCAGGAGCAGACCGCCTGCTCAGATCTCGGCCACCACTTAGCCCTGTGGGGCCTGTGCGAAAGCCCCACCCCCTAAACCTCTGCTCCTCAAGGGCTGTGGCCACAGCAGCTCCCTCCAGGCAGTGGGTGGGGAATTAGAGGAGGTGATGTGCTCACTTTCAGGGCAGCTGCTCCACCCACCCCTAACCACCCAAAGGCAGCTCACCGCCAAGGAGAGCAGAACCCTCCTCACAATGATAGAGGAAGCTAGCACCAGTATCCTAGGGCCCAGAGCAGGTGAGTGACTTTCCAAGGTCACACAGCTGGCATGGGTTCATTCTTCCCGGGATAAGGGGGGTCCTGAAGCCCCACTCCCCTGGCCCTTACCTGTACAACCTCCCACCTTCAGAGTGATTGCCTATCTCCTCAGCCCCCTCCTGCCTCCTGCTGTCACCCCATCTCCTCGGTTCCCACAGGCCGCTCTGAGCTGACCGTGTAGTGCACTGTTGCCCGAGCTTCTGAAGAAGCCAGGGGCCCTGGAGCAGGGAGGTGGGGAGAGGGAAGAACACCCCAGGGCAGAGCCATTCCCCAATGTGTTAGCTACCCCACTTGGAGGTCCTGGGGAGGATTCGGGGGTTGAACAGCCCATTGGCCACATTGTCGGAGATGAAGACGATGACGTTGCCTTTGGTGTCTCCGAAGCAGAACACGCCTCTGTGATAGTCAGACCTGGGAAAGATGGAGACAGAGAAGCCATGGAGCCGGCTGGGCGCACCCCGCTGCAGTCCTCACCCCGTCCCCGTGCTCCATGCCTATGAACACCCAGGGACTGAGGGCAGTTCTTGCTCTCAACAGCTGATGAACATGGGCCCAGGTACCCAGATCCACAACATCGATGAACAAGGGCCAAAAGAAATCAGCATTTTTTAAAAACCACAGTCAATGAGTCCCTGGTCCTCCAGCTGCTCTTTGTCAAGTCACTCCTAGCGCTAGACATGACGCTTCCAGATCCTCACCCGCAGTGGGACAAGCCTCTGCCAGGTTTCGGTGGCTAACTTGGTGGGAGAGGGAGAGGAAGAGGGCTGACGATGACTCTGTGGTCTGAGTGACGGCGAAAGGTGACCCTGAGAGAGAAGCCGCTTGGGGGAAAGAGGACACAGGCACACAGGATGGGAATCTCTCCAGAACTGTTTCCAGCAAGGCTTTCTGTGGGTTCCAACACCACTGACTGATGTGGCCGCTGCCAAGACCCTGCACCGATCTCCCATGAGACTCACCAGTAGTCCATAACCAGAGGGCAGCTGTCCAGTTCGATGAAGGTGAAGGCCCGGGTACAGTTACGATTACTAACATCAAAGAACTCTGGGGAAAGACAGAGGAGAGACATGCATAGAACCCAAAGCCACATCCCCGGCTTCAGGGTCTCTGGTGACAATGAGTAGTAGTCACTGCTCACCACCTGGCAATACCCCCGAGGATTTAATCCATGCTCAAAGTTGGCTCAGTGACAGATCTTCCCACATGCAGGTGCATGACTCCCAATGGCCAAGAGCAGGCAGGGCAGCCACCAGGGACTCACCTATCTTCTGGTCAGTGGACGCAATCGCAACTAGGTTCATGTTGTGGAGACATACCATGTCGATGACCCACATCTGCTGGTTGTAGAGCGGCTGTATCTGGTTAAGCTGGCCAGAAGAAGAGCAGAGACCTGGGCTGGGGAGGCTGCCCCCGGAGAACCCACCCTGCCAGCCAAGGCCCTGGAAGCAGGCAGAGACCTGGTCATGGAGCCCCGTGTGACCACCAACTACTAACAATGGAGCTTTAGATAAACGCCCTATCCTCGCCCAGTCTCAGTTTCCATGTCTATAAAATGGGCTTTAAAAAACTGGTATCTTTTTTTTTTAATGTTTTATTGATTTTTTTTTTTTTTTACAGAGAGGAAGGGAGAGGAATAGAGAGTTAGAAACATCGATGAGTGAGAAACATCGATCAGCTGCCTCCTGTACACTCCCTACTAGAGATGTGCCCGCAACCAAGGTACATGTCCTTGACCAGAATCGAACCTGGGATCCTTCAGTCCGCAGGCCGAAGCTCTATCCACTGAGCCAAACTGGTTAGGGCAAAATCTGGTATCTTTACAACCCCTTTTTAGAGCAGTTTGACAAGCTGGTCAAAGTTTTAAATGTGCAGTCTGTGATGGGATCCATTTCCAGGACACACCTATGGACATGCTCACATGTATTCACTGAGACGTATATGCAAAGGGCACCATCCAGACAGTAACTGTGAGGGAGCTGTGCACGTACCAATACAGAATAGTTGCCACGATATATTATTACGTGAAAAAGCAAGGTGAAAAGCACCAATATAATGTGCTACCATTTGCATATTTAAAAGGAAAGGGGGTGGTATATGTATAGGCTATCCATGGAAGAGCCCCAAAACCGGTCACAGCAGTTGCCTCCCAGGAGAGGAACTAGGGTCTGGGGGAGAAAGACCGACTTTCCACTATCTGTCCCTCTGGATGCCTGGATCTTCCTCTCCCTTCCACCCCTCGTTTTATTGAGATACAATTGACATATAACAGTGTATTCATTTTGTTTTGTCTGAATCTTGTTTGCCACCTGCTGGTGTTACCTGGTCACCGTGGCTAATTAAGGAGAAATCATCCTGTCAGGCTGTGAGGAAGTAATGGAATCATAAAAGCTAAACCATCTACAGTGCCCGTGGCAGGAGCTTGGCAGGCTCGGGAGCCTGTCCACGTCTGGTGCCAGCCTCACTTAACACATGCAGGCAGATTGGAGCTGGCACTCCAGGCGGGGACACCGCGAGCAAAGGCATGTCAGCAGAAATGAACTGCTATGTCCAGGGAAGAGGAGGCCGGCCTGACAGTCTTGGGTGGAAGGAGATGGGAAATGGCTTTAGGGGTGGCCAGCTGAGAAACTTGTATTTTATTCCCTGAATAACACAGGTTCTGAACTGAAGAAAGAGAGGGGGTCCATCTGAAAAAGAAGGGAGGGGCCATTTTAAGGCCGCTCCTGTAGGTGGAGATCCAGAAGGGATGGCAAAGGCGGAGGCAGGAAGCACAATGTTCCAACAAAACTCAGAGCACGAAAAGCAGAGGCCTGCACTACTGGCTGGGCAGTGAGGACGATGGACCAGGGCCCCCTGAGGCCCCTCTCTTGCCCAGGGCTGGGATCTAACCTGCACACAAGGGAGGTGACAGTAACATCCGTCACCCCGTGTTTAGATGAGAGAGCGAGAGCCCTAGGGAGTCTCAGTGGCCTGCCTGAGGTTGCACAACTCATAGGTGAAGCCCAGACCCGGCCCCATATCCGGGCCTTCCATTTGCGTGACCATGGGTGTGCAGCTAGTGGTCATGGATGGTGACTCACTCTTGACACATCTACTTGAAAGCAGCCCCTCAGGGAAGAATGAATGCCCAGGTCTGTTGGACCTTCCAAAGGCGCCTCCCTCTGTCCTCCTTGGCCCTCCCAGGCTTTGGCCCTTGAAGGACACTAAGGGGGCCATGTAGCAGCCACAACCAAGAGCTCAGGCTACAATGTGCCCCCTCTCCCAATAAACAAACAGAGAAAAAGTGTGTGGAGTGTGCCCGAAACTCCAGCCTCGGGAACACAGTACGAATCCCCCTTGGTCCTGGGCTACCAAGAGCACCCAGGAGAGTCATTGGACATCCCCAGACTTTAGTTCCCACCACAGGCAACTGGGAGGCAGTAGGGGAGACCACCCAGAACCCTCCTGCCCAAGTCTTAGCCCCTGATGCAACTGGGAACGCTGCAGTTACCAGAGCTGATGAAGCCCTCACGCTGCTGGCAGCATCTCAATAAGCCTTTATTCACCAGAGAGCTGCGCCTTCCTCATCTGCTAGACTGGCCTGGCAACACACACACACACAGTGCGTTTGCCTGAGTGTTCTGTCACTCACTGCGCTCGGCCAGGAACTGACGACACAAAGACAATGACGAGGGCAGCTTATGTGCATCGGGCGCTTGCTGTGTGCCTTGCCCTGCTCCAAGCGCCATGCACGTATTATGTCATCCATCCTCCCACTACCCTTGAGGGATTACTACCCCATTGGACAGATGAGGAAAAGGAGGCACGGAGAGCTCTATAGTAATTGGTTGGAGGTCACAGAGCTGGAAGGTGGTGCACAGGGGTTCTAAGCCAGGCAGTCAGACTCCAGCGGCTGGGCTCACAACCACTGTTCCTGCCTGGGCCAGGCAAAGGATTGCATCTGCAGGATTTGGTGATGGAGCGGGTGCAACAAAGAAAGGAAAGGGGGCTGATCTCCAACACAGAAACGTCTCACTGAGGTGGGGGCACAGGAGAAGTCTGGTGAGCAGGGAGGGCCACTGTGACATTTAGTTTGGACAAACTGGGTTTGAGGTGTCTGTTGGACATCCACGTAGAATGGACATCAGGTGGAATCTTGCTTACAGAGGAGGAATATGAGGCTCATGGTGCCACGGTGAAGCCAGAACCTGGACCCGGGAGTGTGACTGCAAGTGCGGACTGCCTAGTCCACAAACCCTGAGAAGGAGCCACCCTGAGCCACAGTGCGAAGGCAGAGGCTCTCTGACCACCCCATCTGTGCTCCACATGTGGGCCCAACTCACCTTAAAGGAGCTGATCAGAGAGAAGGACTCTGACCAGAACTGCAGGTTCCCGTCCTTAGTGACAGTCAGAAAATGCCCAACCTTCTTGAACCGCTGCATTAAAAACGCCACTTTCACAACCTCACACCCGTGATTCCTGTGGGAGGTAATGAGAGAGAGAAGAGCCCAACCAAAAACAGAACAGACTCAGAGGAGGAAGGGAAAGCCATCGGGAGTTCGCTCACATGCGCGCACGCGCACACACGCACGCACGCACCAGGCCCACTACTGAGAAGCTCCAGCAGGTTCCAGGAGACGTGGGACCCTGCCCCTCATACTAGCGTCATATGTGGAAAGATACCCACGTACGACGCTGGTGTGAGACAGGGCTCCCAAAGCAGGAAGCCTGTCCTGTGATATAGCCAGTCAGCCTCCACATCGTGGGACAGGGAGATGAGACAGGCAGCGGCTTTTGCAGACCTTTTATTGGGAAAATGGCCCACAGAAGGCGAGGAGAGTAGGACTTGACTGGAAACTACAACATTGATTCCAGCAACTGCTCTAGTGCTCCAGAATGGAGAGAGGGGAAGTGGGCGAGGGTGCTACGAGACATCAGGGCCCCTTTGCACAACTCTCCCTCTCCAAGGACCTGCCCTGAGCACAGAAAACAGCTTCTGGGGCAGGCCAGGCCTCACTCAGCCTTCCCAGCAAACCTCAATGCTGCCTTCCAATGGCTTCCTTCCTGCCACAAAGCTGGGTAAGCCAGAGATCTGGCAATTAAAGGGCACTACCATTTTGACTTCCCGACACCGCACACACTCCCATTTGATGTACCCTAACTTCTGGGCCCAGCAGAGCAGGTGATGTTGTCTCACCTTGTGCTTGGAATTATGTCCTAGTTACTAACAGAGCTGGTACCTTCACCCCCACTCCAGCCACAGCCCTTTCCAAATGATGTGACCCATGGCTTAAAATAACCCAGTCACCGTGAAGTTCTACCGCGTTACTACCTCTGCGGAAGAGAGAGGGAGGTGCTGTCCCTCCCTCCTGCTATCAGTCCATAGCTCTGTCCAGTTCCTCATGAATATTCTCAGTCACCCCTCTAGCTGTCACCTCCCATTCTGCCTCTTGTGTCAGGGCCGAGAGTGTGAGAAACAGACACAACAGGTGAGAGCTACGAAGTGAGGAGCACCCTGGGAAGTGACACCCCATCATGGAGTCTTGGTCTCCCCATCTCCACAATGGCAGCACCTCCACCTCCTAGGACTGCAGTGGAAACAAGATGGTGCATTTGATGAACTGGGCCCAGGCTACCCTTTCATGAAGGTAATTGAACATTATTTGACTATGTTCTCCAAAAACCTGGAGATGTACTCCAGGTTGTGGGTTGAGCATATAAATAGGAGAACACGGGCAAGCTTCTTGGCATTTTGGTCCAGGCCTTTTATGCACCCTCAGGAATTCAAATGTCCAAGAAAAATAGACTGGTGACGGCTTGGCTACATCAAGCAAAGCTTCCAGGTCAAAATTTAAGATTATAAAATCTTTCATCATTCACGTACATGAGCTATTCATCAATTAAATCTTGACCAAAACTTATGTAATGTACCCTTTCATGCTTTTCATTTAAACCATGTTCTCTATTAAACTTCAGGCTGCTGAGGGCAGGGGCTGCCTTCTAGTTTGTGGTGCTCCCCATGGCCTGCTCTGGGGATGGTCCCCTGAGGACAGACCCACCATGGCCCTTCCTGACCAGGCCACACATGCATATATCACAGGATCTGGCTCCTGGTCCCAGCCACCTGCATCAGGCAGCTGGCGCTCTCACACAAGGTGCGCTCTGGGAAGGGAGCCAGCGGCCCAGCACTCCTCTCTCTTAGGGTGTTTTGAAGGGTAGGGGCTAACAGGCCACAGCACAGAGAGAGGATGAGAAGTTCCAGAGGGCACAGCAGGGGAGGAGCTGCAGGAGCAGCGAGCAGGCAGGGTCAGGCTGAAATCAAGGCAGGGACAGCTGCATGCTCCAGGAGTTACAGAGGGGCGCCCTCCCCCTCCCCCAGGCCTGGGCAGGCAGAAGGAGCAGTTTCCTGTTGTGGCTCTTAATCCCTGTCCCCACTGGGTGAGGCATCTGTGTCCTGTGGATGAAACTGCCAGGTGTATTCAGCCCAGACGCAGGAGGAGCCGTGTTGGGGAAGCTAAAGGCTAAGGGGGCAAACAGAACCACTCACTACTTCCATTTGACCTCTCTGAACCTCAATTTCCTCATCTGTAAACTGGGGACAAATCACTTACCTAATGCTCATGCCCACCTACCCAGCTGTGAGGCTGATAGGAGCTAAAGGACATCAAGCACCAGGCCCAGTGTCAGAGCCTTGGTGGCCCCACAAGGGTGGCTCAGGGATTTCGGAAGGGCACTAGCTGCATGGCCGGCACCGCCTTGTGCAGAACCGCCCTTTCGGCCCAGGGAGCGGCTCCTTACATGGGGATGATCTTCATGGGCAGGTGGAAGTGCAGGTGGTACTGGCTCTTCCTCATCAACTCCTTTCCCTGGAACTCGTGCATCATATAATCCACACAGTTCGACTGCCTCAAGAAGAAAGACGAGGCAGGGCGGGTGTTGGCTCAATGGTCCGAGCACTGGGCTTTGGGAACCCAAGCTCAGCTTCCAGTATTCTCCCCGACTCTCCCAGCCCCTTCCAAGGGGCTCTGGGAGCCCCGCCCCCACCCAGGCTGGCAAAGGGAAGCAGCCTAGCAACAGTGCTGCTCTTGCATCTGAATTGGGTGAAGGGCTTATTGGCAAGTATTTGTGAAGACAGCATAGCAGCGCGCCTCCCCCCTTAAAGCTTTTTCGTAAAGCTAAATCACCAATTTTCACCTTTCCATCTCATGGCACACATAAACTAATTACTAAAATTCCGCAGCACACCAAAAATATGTATTTTTTGCCGATCTGACAAAAACAATAGGTATAATTTTGATTCATTCACACCAGATGGCTACTGTTGTGTTGCTGTTGTTTGT